TAGTAGTAGTAGTAGTAGTAGTAGTAGTAGTCGTAGCAGAAGTGGTACCACTCCTACTACTACTAGTACTAGTACTACTACTACTACTGCTACTACTACTACTACTGCTACTACTACTTCTACTACTACTACTACTACTACTACTACTACTACTACTACTACTACTACTACTACTACTACTACTACTACTACTAGTTCATCTACGGCTACGACTATGACTACGTCTTTTATTACTGCTGCTACTACTAGTGCCACTCCTACCACTACTGCTGATACTAGCACCACTACAGCAACTACTACTACTACTTACTAGTACTACTACCATTGCTACGTATTCGATACCTACTACTACCTACTACGTATTTTTTAAACTACTACTACTACTATTACATGCTACTACCTCCTGCTCCTTCTCCTCCCCTGGCTCGGCGGCGGTGAGCTTCGAGACGGCTCGGGACGCAGCCGGGTGGACAGCAGAGGACAATCGTGGACGCGTTGGCTCCTGCACGGTAACCAAACGTTCCCTTGAGCCCCGTATACCATGCTGGCCCCACTGCGAACATTGTAGCGCCCGCTCGTCCTCCCTCGCCTCCCCCCCACCCCTCCTCTCGGGCGCAGAGGGCTGTGCTCATACAGTGGAGACCCATGCCAAGAAACACCCTGCTTGCCTCCAGGGTGCCCCCTTTTCCCAACCGTCCTGTGGTGTTTGGGTTCTCATTTTGAAGAGACGGTCCCCGCGTTCCTTCCCCTTTTCCTTCCTTCCTCCTCCCCCTCCTCCCTCCTCCCATCCCTGCCTCTGCCCTGCGCATGTCGTCGTCGTCGTCGTCTCCCCCACCCAGCACGGCGTTTCGTGGCCCAATGGGGAGCTCCACGTAAGGCCCCAGTGGCGGTGTCCACATGCGTCTCCCCCACCCAGCACAGCGCGTCGTGGCACCCTTGGGAGCTCCACCTAAGGTCCCAGTTTCGGTGTCCACATGCGCCTCCCCCACCCAGCACCGCGTTTCGTGGCCCAATGGGCAGCTCCATCGAAGGCCTCAGTGGCGGTGTCCACATGCGTGTGCCCCACCCAGCACGGCGCGTCGTGGCCTCATAGGGAACTCCACCTAATGCCCCAGTGGCGGTGTTCACATGCGTCTCCCCCACCCGGCACGGCGCTCCGTCGCCCCATAGGGAACTCCACCTAAGGCCCCTGTGGGGGTCCACATGCGTCTCCCCCACCTGGCACGGCATTTCGTGGCCCCATAGGGAGCTCTTCATAAGGCCCCAGTGGCGGTGTCCACATGCGTCTCCCCCCACCCAGCACGGCGCGTCGTGGCCCCATAGGGAGCTCCACCTAAGGCCTCAATGGCGGTGTCCACATGCGTCGCCCTCACCCAGTACAGCATGTCGTGGCCCCATGTGGAGCTCCACCGAAGGCCTCAGTGGCGGTGTCCGCATGCGTCTCCCCCACCCAGCGCCGCGATTTGTGGCCCCACAGGTAGCTCCACCTAATGCCCCAGTGGCGGTGTCCACACGCGACTCCCCCACCCAGCACCGCATTTCGTGGCCCCATGGGAGCTCCACCTAATGCCCCAGTGGCGGTGCCCACATGCGTCTCCCCCACCCAGCACAGCGTTTCGTAGCCCCATAGGGAGCTCCACTGAATGCCCCAGTGGCGGTGTCCACATGCGTCTCCCCCACCCAGCACAGCGTTTCGTAGCCCCATAGGTAGCTCCACTGAATGCCCCAGTGGCGGTGTCCACATGCGTCTCCCCCACCCAGCACAGCGTTTCGTGGCACCATTGGGAGCTCCACCGAAGGCCCCAGTGGCGGTGTCTACATGCGTCTCCCCCTCCCAGCACAGTGTTTCGTGGCCCCATGTGGAGCTCCACCGGATGCCCCAGTGGCGGTGTCCACATGCGTCTCCCCCACCCAGCACGGCGCGTCGTGGCCCCATAGGGAGCTCCACCTGAGGCCTCAGTGGCGGTGTCCACATGACTCCCCCACCCAGCACAGCGTTTCGTTTCGTGGCCCCAGAGGGAGCTCCACTGGCCCCAGTGGCGGTGTCCACATGCGTTTCCCCACCCAGCACGGCGCGTCGTCGCCCCATTGGGAGCTCCACCTAGTGCCCCAGTGGTGGTGCCCACATGCGTCTCCCCCACCCAGCACAGCGTTTGTGGCCACATAGTCCCCCCCACCCAGCACAACGTTTCTTGGCCCCATGGTGATCTCCACCTGAGGCCCCAGTGGCGGTGTCCACATGCGTCCCCGCACCCAGCACCGCGCTTCGTGGCCCCATAGAGAGCTCCACCTAAGGCCCCTGTGGCGGTGTCCACGTGCGTCTCCCCACCAAGTGCGGCATTTCGTGGCCCCATAGGGAGCTCCACCGAAGGCCTCAGTGGCGGTGTCCACGTGCGTCTCCTCACCCAGTGCAGCACTTCGTGGCACCATGGGAGCTCCACCTAAGGCCCCAGTGGCGGTGCCCACATGCGTCTCCCTCACCCAGCACAGCGTTTCGTGGCCCCATAGGGAGCTCCACTGAATGCCCCAGTGGCGGTGTCCACATGCGTCTCCCCCACCCAGCACGGCGCGTCGTGGCCCCATGTGGAGCTCCACCGAAGGCCCCAGTGGGACCGTCCGCATGCGTCCCCCCCGCCCAGTGTAGCATGTCGTGGCCCATCGTAGAGTTACCGAAGACGATACCCACAACGGGGGTACTCACAATTGCATCTGGTTGGGTCCTTCGCCAGGCTAATTTTTGGGTTTCGATGGTTTTGCTGTGCAAAGCGTGACGCTCCCACACCAAGAATCAATAGAGGTCCTGGGGTCTCAGGGTTGGGTCTCTTGTGGAAGGTTCCTTGCGGTCGAGCTCCTATTGTAACACTGGAGACTGGAAACTGGAGAAAGCATTGTAACTGTGACTGGGACCAATGAGCTCAGTTGCACTTCCTCAGCAGCGGGAGTTGCCTCCTGGGTTTGGGCAGGTATGGTAGTGTTTGGGAGTGTTTGGGAGGGTTTAGGGGGGGGTGAGGGGTGGGGAGGGGGATGGGTGCTGAGGGGGGGACCCAGGCCAGGGAGGGTTTGGGAGGGTTTTGGGAGTGTCTGGGAGGGTCTGGGAGGGTTTGGGCAAGTAAAGGAAATGTTCGGCAGGCTCGTGCCGTGTCGACCGGCGGCGGCCCCGCCGGCGGCGTTCAACGTTGAACGCTGGCGGCGGCCCAGAATCGGTCGATGTTGAACGATCGGACCCTGCGGAAAGGGCCGATCGTTTCAGGTTGGACGATCCCCGCGGTGTCAGGAACCAACGCCCGGGTCGACACGACACGAGCCTGCCGCAAGGAGAGGATCTAGGCCTCCTAGATGGAGTCGGAGTGGATGGGGTCGGAGGATCGCGCCGCATCGCCGATGCATCGGCGATGCGGCTCGATGTGGGGCGCGATTTTCTCCACGCCAACGTCGCCGATGCATCGCTGACGTCGCCAGTGCATGGCCGATGCATCGTCGATGCCTCAGCGATGCATCGTCGATGTATCGGCGATGCGGTGAGATCCCCCGACCCCATCTACTCGGACCCCATCTAGGAGGCCTCTAAAGGAACTGTTCCCTGTGGTCGAGCTGCCCCTGTGCTCCGACCCCGTCCAGGCCCATCCTCGGGCCCGGGATCGGTGCAGCGTGCCTTCCAGGAGCCAGGCCGGGAGGGTGTCCGCACGTGGCTTCCTGGGCTCCCGGGGTGGGCCCGGCCAAGAGCGGCGTACGTGCACCGTGTTACCCATCGGTCGTTGAAATCGAAGAAGAAAAACGCCATGAACATAAACTTTTGGCGTTCCGCATTCGATTTCTTGGATCCGCTCCGAGGCCCCCCGGCGGCGCCTCCGGCGCCGCCCCTGGCGCGCTCCGCGCGCCAGGGAGGGGAGTCCAGCGCAGATCCAAGAAATCCGTGCGGAGCGCCAAAAGTTATGTTTATGGTGTTTTTTCTTCTTCTATGAACGCAGGTATTGTGGGATTCCCAGATCCCAGTCTGCTTTAGGCGCCTTCTACTTCAATCAGCGAGCATTTCCTCTTCCCTCATCGTCAGGGGGGCGGACGGAAACACAATCTACTTCCAACGCCTTCCTACTCCATGGTTCTACCTACTTCCTACCGATGGGTAGTGTTACGTGGGGCATGCTCCTCCACACGAGGAGTATGCAACAAAAGTCAAACATTAGTCTGGGGACTTTTTTTGTTTTTTTTTTCTTTCTTTTCTTCTCTCTCTCTCTCTATATATATATATATTTCCCCCCCCTCTCTCTCTATTTGGGCATTATTCTCATTGTTGTTGTTCTTGTTCTTCAAATCGGCTTTCCCTATAGGAGTCACAGCTCAAACCCTACTACTTGGTCCGTTGCACCCCCCTAATTCCTACGCCCCCCGATTCCTACGGCTATGCCTATGCCTATGCCCATGCCTCCCCCCTAACTACTATGCCTACGCCTATGCCTATGCCTGCATGCTTGCCTGCCTGCTTGTTTGCCTGCGCCTGCGCGCTTGCTTGCATGCTTGCTTGCTTGCTTGCTTGCGCGCTTGCTTGCACGCTTGCTTTCTTGCTGAGTTGCGGATTCCAAACATGCTTGATTCCTCTGATTCCTTGGTTTGAGTCGTCTAATCTATTTGGAGTCAACGCTGGCTGATATTATTATTATTCTTACTTTTTAGTCAGTCTTTCTCCCCAAACTCGCCTGTAGGAGGACGTCGCACCCGACCTGAGCATAGTTTCAAATCGGGCATGTCCCGAATAATATTCAGGAATGGTCAACAACTCGTATCGGGACGATTTTTCGTACTCTTTTGATTCTGTAATGATTATTTGTTCATTTTTGGTTTGATTTTTTTGTTTCTGCCAAAATCCGCCTTGTCTGACCTAAGGATCGTCTGATTCTTCTGTCGTGACCGCCCAGAGTGTTGAGGCGTGTGCCTGGTCAAGCTCTGCCCTCGGGCATACATGCGGTTCTGCCTTGAGTGCTCTGACCCCTTCGCTGGTGCTCTGGTAACACGCCACCAGTAAGCTGTTTTTTTGTAAGGGTCCAGCGATCATCTGGGTTATCCGGCCGCCTGCCCCCCCCCTCCCCCCGGATAACCTGACCTCGTTGGTTGCGCCGATCTGAAGGGGTATTCAGTATTGGTGCGCGCGGGCGCACGTGGGGCTGCCCAATGTAAAAAGGTTGGGTTATCGGCTGGCACCTCCCCACTACCCCCCCTCTGGTAATCTGGGCTATCGCCGATGATGATGATGATGATGATGATGATGATGATGATGATGATGATGATGATGATGATGATGATGATGATGATGATGATGATGCTGCTGCTGCTGCTGCTGCTGCTGCTGCTGCTGATGATGATGATGATGATGATGATGATGATGATTGATGATGATGATGTGGTGATCGATGGAGCGTTGGTGGGGAACAACAGCAAAGCGCTTGATGGAGCGTTTGATGAGCTTTTTCCAGCACGCATGCGAATTGCACCAGCTCGGCGACTACAAAGGGTAGGGTTATGCCGGGGTGTGCACCGTTGGGGCCCAGGGAGCAAGAAACTGTCCTCGTCCAGCCTCGGAGCTCGGCGGAGAGCTCTGTCGGGGTCCTCGCCCGTCCCCCAGGGTGCCCCCCAGGGTGCCGGTTGCAAGCCACGCCCTTTGCAAACCACTCCCGTCGGAGTCGCCGACCATCGGCCGTATAAAAAGTAAAGACGCACTAGACAAAGTTGTTTTTCTTCTATCCTCCCCTCGGTTTCTTTTGCTTCCTGCCCGCCCGCGCCTCGGCACCACTTATCAGGGTTAACGATCGGGGAAAATAGGCATAGGGGGGATGCATCGACCCCCAATCGCCCATTGATCGCCGATAGGGGTCTGATAGCCCCAATCTGCCCAGGAATGTGCGAACTCACTATCGGGGGCCTGTCGCTGATCTGTCGGCGATGTATCGCCGATTCCAGGTCCATGTCCCCCCTCCATACGCCTATCCCCCCCTATCGTCGTCACCACCCACCAAAACACCACAACCGAACCCGAAGGCCCCAATTCGCCCTCCTGTCCCAGTGGGGATGGCCTCGGGGAACATTGAACAAAAAACATGAGGAACCCGTACCCCCCCCTCAACCCGAAATCAGGTTCGTTTCGAGCAGGGGATCGATTACAGAGCATTTATTCGTTCGCCGAATCTACGAGACATGCGTATAATACATTATCAGTATTTTTCGATCCGACGAGGATATTACATTTGAGGGCAAACCAATTCTGTAGTCGATCCCCTGCTCGAGGGTTGGGTTGGGGTGGTCTGGCTGGCAGTCCTGCCGCTGCCCCTCAGCCAACTGCACCCTCCATCGCGGACCGCCCCCCGCGCGGCCCCCGCTCCCCGCCGCCCTCAGGGCTGGGGCGGCGGCGGCTGGGGCGGCGGCAAGGGCAAGGCTAGGCCCGAGCTCCGCGCTGCGCCGCGACCGGCCGAGGATGAGGATGAGGGTGGGGACCAGGACGACGACGACGGCGACGGCGACGGCGACGGCGACGGCGACGACGACGACAAGTACGATGACGACGACGACGACGACGCTGAGGACGACGACGACGACGACGACGATGACGCTCCTTCTGTTCGCCCCCCCTCCGCGAGCGTCAGAGGAGGAAAAGGTACCCATACCGCTACCCTTCCCTCGCCTTTTCTTCTTCTGGCCTCCTGGGAGGCTCACGTCGCCACTGCCAGACTCGCGTCAACATCCTGGTCAAAACGCACCCCGGGAGAGGTCTGGGGAGTTAGCGATATCGGTACGTTTTGCCGAAGAAGAAAGAACGTCATAAACATTAATGTTTGGCGCTCCGCGCGGATTTCTTGGATCCGCTCTGAGGCCCCCTGGCGGCGCCTCCGGCGCCGCCCCTGGCGCGCTCCGCGCGCCAGGGAGGGGAGTCCAGCGAGAAATCTGCGCGGAGCGCCAACAGTTTATGTCTATGGCGTTTCTTCTTCTTCCATTTTGGTTTCCCCAGGACCAGGGGGGAGGGACCCGGAGATCCTGGCGTCGCAACGTTTCTTCTTTTTCTTAATCTGGTTTCCCCAGGACCAGGGGGGGAGCGGCCCGGAGATCCTGGCGCCGCAACGTATACCAAACGGGCGCGATCGCCCTGTGTCGGGCCCCGGGGCCATCACGGGTCGATCCGGCCCAAAAAGAGCTGGAGAAAGAGATGGGTTCCAGGTTTGAGTCGGACGTGTCCCTCTACAGGAGAAGTATTCAGAATTGGGAGAACTAGTCTGGAGACGTTTTTTTTTTGCGGGGTGGGTGGGTTGTTTTTCACACATTAGTTGGACTATCTTTGAATATTTCTTGATTATCTTTTATTTTTCGTCCACAATCCGCCTGCAGGAGGACACGCCCGACCCAAGTCCAGGCCTCTGGTCGTGATTGCGAAGGCCTCGCGGCCGGTTTTTTCCGATCCTGAAGGCGGGAGCCTCCCCGGGGCCCCCGCTGGCGACCCCCCCTCGGGATCCCTCGGGACCTCGGGTGGGGCGGTATTCTGACTCGCCCGGCCCCCACCTCCCCCCCTCCCCCCCCTCCACCCCCACACCCTGGCAGGGAGGGGATCAGAGGGAAGGGGCTCCCTTCGACTCCATGGCGACTTGCCTCAGTCTCCTCGATTTCCTTGGGACCGACGACGACGAGGACGACGACGAGTACGAGTACGAGTACGACGACGACGACGACGACGCCGAAGGGTCGGGGGATTCTTCACGATGTTGCATTTGTTCGATCGGATCTCATGGGAGTAGCTGTAGAGGTCGAGTAGGGGATCGACTACGCACTGATTGATTTACCCCGTATGGGTCTTCTCGTCGAACCTACCATAAAGACGCAGAGAGTTCGTAGATCTACGAACCTGCTATACGTTTTCTTTCGTAGATTCGACGAGAACTCCAATCTTTGGGCAGTCCATTCGCAGAGGAGCTTCCCTGCCCTGCCGTGGCGCCCCGCCGCTCGCCCGTTCCGTGCGCCCCTCCGCTGCAACCTTCCGGTGTGCCCGCTTCTGGATCAGCCGCGTGCCCCGGCAGGTCGTGGGGGAGGAGGAGGGAGGAGGAGGAGGAGGAGGACGAGGGAGGAGGAGGAGGAGGAGGAGGAGGAAGGAAGGAGGAAGGAGGAGGGAGGAAGGAAGAGGGAGGAGGAAGGAGAGAGGAGGAAGGAGGGAGGGAGGAACCGCCACCGCGCAGCGCACAGTGAATATTCTTCGGGGCAGTTCCGCGAGCGTGAGGCCTCCAACAACATACGTACGCCATGCTACGGGGGCGACGGCCCGCATGCCTTTGTGTATGTGTGTATGTGTGTGTGTGTGTGTGTGTGTGTGTGTGCGTGCGTGCGCCTCCCGGGTCGTGCCGGGCACGGCAGGCTTCGCCCGACGTTGGGTGAGGACCAGAGTTAAGTCGGGCATGTCCCAGGAATATTCAAACATAGTCTAAAAGTGGTATGGGGACAATTCTTCTACCATGTTTGACTATGCTTGGTCATTTGTTGATTCTGTTTTATCTTTCCTCCCAGATCCACCTGTAGGAGGACATGCCCGACCTATGACCAGAGCGAGTCCAGACCTCCCAGATGGGGCCCGACCAGGTGGGGTCGGAACACTGCGCCGCCTCGCCTATGCGTCGGCGATGCGGCTCGATGTGGGGCCTGATTCTCTCCACGCCGACGGCGCCGATGCACTGCCGACGTGGGCGATGCATCGGCGATGGGTCGGCGATGCGGCGTGATCCTCCGATTACTTACTCGGATCCTGCTTGAGAGGCCTCCAGAGTATACCCAAGGTGCGTGAGGGTGAGAATGAGGGTGAGGACCAAGATGCGTCAACGATGCTACAGTACCCGAAGAAGAAACAACAGCATACGCATAAGCTTTAAGATCTCCGCTCGGATTTCTTGGATCGGCGCTGCGCCCCCTGGCGCGGCTTCGGGCGCCACCCCTGGCGCGTTCCGCGCGCCAGGGAGAGGGTCCAGCGCCGATCCAATGAATCTGCGCGGACCTCTTGCAATCTATGTCTATGCCTTTTACGTTCCCTTAGACGGGACCGAGGACCAGAGTACACAAAGCCGTATCCGGGGAACCTAGAAGGAACCCGCGTAGCACATCCAATCCGTATCAAGGAACGCACGGACCTACTCTAGCTTCTTGCAGCAGTACGCCCAGTCCGCATCAACGATGTTGCAAGGCCCCCTCCCGCCTCAAGCCCTGTCCCCAGAGCCGCGACGAACTCCCTCAGGGCTTGACGATTTCTCGCCAATCGACTTGTGCCGACCGATCCACACACACATATATATATATATATGTATATATATATATATATATATATATATATATATATATATATATATATATAAGAATCCAGGCAAACGCAGCCAAGTCGAGGCAAGTGCAGGCAAACCTGGGCAGTTCCTGGTACATCCAGAGATTTCGAGGGACACTTGGAGCAACTCGCGGCCACTCCAGCGCGAGCCGAGGGCCGCCAGAAGCCGCCGAGGCCCTCAAACGACGAACGCTCCCGTCCGCTGCGGGACAAAAAAGGCGCCCTCCTGGAGCAGCGAGCGCCCGGCGGGCCCGCCACCCAGGCGAGGCACCCGTGCTGTGAGGGGTCCGCCCGGAGACCTCCCAGCTGCAATCGGGCCGGGCGAAAGGGGGGGATTGGGAAAGGGGGGGTTACGAAATCTGCTGCAGGCAGCTGGTTTCGGCCCCACCGAGGGGCCCATTCCTCGATACAGGGGCGCCTCCGGCGCCGGGAGGCGCCGGGGAAAACAGCTACGCGAGCTGATTCTCAACCCCCCCCTTTGCTATCCCTCCCTTTCGCCCGGCCCGGTACAAGAAGCACAGACGTGTGCCCATCGGTCGTTGGTCGGGTTGACCCCAAAAGGGGGTCCAGCGACGAGGGGGTGGCGCAACAGATTTGGTGCAATAGAGTTGTGGGGTTGCAACACGTTTGGGGCGTGCGGTACACTCCGGGGCGCCAGATGTATTGCAGGGCCCAGCATCGCAGAGCGGATCTCGCTCGGAGAACGATCGGGTGGGCCCAGAGTGTCCTGGAGAAGTTCGCTCAGGATTTCGAGGTGAGTTTCGTGCGGGTTTTTCTGGCCAGGAACGCAGACCAAACAGATTCCACGGGAAGTTCACTTCGTTTTTCACTCGCCGTTTCTGGGTTTTGCACTGACAGAAATCAATACAAAAATCCGCTGCAGCACGTCTGCAAGGTCGGTGCAGTGACACATGTACCCATCGGTCGTTGAAAGTAGTTAATTTTGGATTCCCAGATTCCAGTCTATTTTGCAAGCGCCTTCCTGCTTGAATGATCGAGCGGCTTCACCTTTTCCGTCCTCTCGAGGGGGCGGACACCCAATCTCTTTTCGACGCCTTCCTACTTCATGCTTCTGTCTACTTCTTCGACCGATGGGTGACATGAGAGCGCTCGCGGGAGTGCCCCGCGAGAGCCCCGTTTTGAATCGATTTTCTTTCCGTCCGTGCAAATCTTGCAAGATGTCGGAAGTTCTGGTCACACTACGGTGGGTCCCCATGCCAAGAAACGCCCTGCTTGCCTCCAGGTGCCCTGGAAAGCGTGGCGCTCCCACGCCAAAAGATCGATGGACGTCCTGGGGTCTCAGGGTTGGGTTTCTTGTCGTGGAAGGTTTCTTGTGGTCGATCTCCTATTTTATTTGCGGAAGTCTCAAGCGAGAGACCCATCTTGGAAAGGAGCCGCCCTCCATCCGTGTAGCTGTTGCACAATTTTCAGCTCCGGGTCGTAGACTTCGAGGGGGCTTCAAGCGAGAGCCGCGTTCAGAAAACGACCCCCCTCGTAATTAGCTTCTGGAGTGTCCAGAGACGAATGTGCGCTGCGCTTGGGGCGAGAAGCATCCTTTGAGCACCAGCAGCCCTTCACCCTGGTAGCTACCAGAAGCTTCTGAGGCACATGCGAGCGGCCCTGAGGCGAGATCTGCATCTTTCGAGCAGGGGATCGACTACAGAATTGAGTTACCCCAAACTTGGATTTTACGCCGAAGCTAGGAAAGGCGCGCAGAATGTTCAGTAGATCTACTGTGTCTTTTCCGCAGATTCGACGGACAGCCAGTTTTGGGGTGAATCGATTCCGTAGGCGATCCCCTGCTCGCACCTTGAGAGCCCCCGGCCCTCTGCCCCTGCAGCTCCGAGCAGCGAGGCGGCGAGGCCCGAAGTCGGCGAGGGTGCGCCTGCGCCACGGCGCGGGCCGCCCTGACCACCGGCCCGCCGTCCTCGTGCGCGTCGCCGGCTTAATATGTAGCTCCAGGAGCACACGCCGTGGTCGCTGAAGAGGTAGGTGTTTGTGGATGCCCTGATCCCAGTCTGCTTCAAGCGCCTTCCTTCTTCACACGAGTCGATATGCTTCTGCCGTGTTTTGTTATTCTCTGGGAGGGCCTGGACCCAATCTGCTATAACTCCGCCTTTCTACTTCCATGTTTCTACCTGCTTCCTCCGACCGACGTGTATCCGTGGCAAGAACTTTCTCAAGCGAGACACCTCGCCCAGCATTGACCACGTTGGCTGGTGCAGCCGGGGGATTTGCTTCTGAGGACCACGCGTGGAGGTACACGGCGAGAGGGAGGCGTGCGAGGAGGGAGGTGCGATCATCTCAGGTGTCCTGGCCTGTCGGATACATTATGTGGGGAGGGGGGCGAAGATCGTAAGGAGGGGGACCCCTGACAGGGATCCCGACCTTGGGTGGACGGCGCCTGGGCCCTCTCGGTGGGGTTTGCCTGTGTGTTCTTCCTCCCTTCTCTTCTCCTTCCTACTCTCCTCATCCCGTTTTGTTTCCACCACAGTTTTTGGTTTCGTTTTTTTTTTTTTTTTTTTTCTTCTCTCTCTCTCTCTCTTTCTCTCCCGCCCTCTGCCTGTGCTCCCGCACCCCTGGACGCGCACTTCCCCACGCTGGAGGCGGCGCAGGTTCCCGCTCACTCTGCGGGAGCCCTCCCTGCCTCCCGGACCGGCGACGTCATGGTTTTGCTCGCAGGGTCGACCCCCAGAGATCTCGACCCATTCTCCTGGACCGGGATCTCTACCCAGAGATCCCGACCCAGTCTCGACCCCCAGAGATGTCGACCCCCAGAGATCTCGACCCCCAGAGATCTCGACCCATCTCGACCCCCAGAGATCTCGACCGGCCCTTCATCTCTGGTAGGTTTTTGACGGTCCTGGGGCCCGGCCAGGGCTCCCGGAGGCCGAAAATGGCAAACACTGCCCGCCGTGAACTTTTAAGGACGCGAGGGGGTGTTGGTTTCTAGCGCCTCCCTGAGATCCCACGTCGCAGAGACATGCAGACATCTCCAAAGTCACGACCAGAGCACAAGGCCACATCTCTCTGCGCCGTTTTCCGAGCCTGATGGATCCGTGAGGGTCTCGGTGCCCGATGCTTGGCGATCCGCCCGATGAAACAGTTGTAACGCTCGGATCTCGGGGAACCTCACGGACGGCGAACGCATCCATACCCACGCCCTCGAGGTTTGCATTCTGGGGAGCGATCCCGCGGATACGCGGTCGCACGGATACGTTCCACGCGTGGCATCCACGAAGAAGCGCCCCGTATCCGCGTGGGCGCCCAGGGGCACGGCCCGCGAGGCTGCGGATACGCAGGTGATTTTGGCTCAAGAGTCCTCCTTGCTTTCCAGCGCCTTCTCCCAGGTTCATTTCGATCCGATCGATCCCATTCGATGTCGGCTCCGGCCTGCCCGATTCGATTCGACTCCGACTTTCGGGTGATCCGCACGCGCTGTTCCGCATCCTGGCGGCGCCGCTCCGATTCGATTCCGATTCTGTGCCGATGCGGCCCGATTCGACGAGCGCGCCTCGGTCCGATCCCAGGGCCCGGTTCGATGCCGGCCGTGCCTGTCCTCGGCGTCACCCCTGACATACATCGATTTCTATGTGTGCGTCGCCCTTCCCCCACCTCCTCCTCCTCCTCCTCCTCCTCCTCCTCCTCCTCCTCCTTCTCCTTCCCTCCTCCTCCTCCTCCTCCTCCTCCTCCTCCTCCTCCTCCTTCCCTCCTCCTCCTCCTCCTCCTCCTCCTCCTCCTCCTCCTCCTCCTCCTCCTCCGTCTCCTCCTCCCTCCTCCTCCTCCTCCTCCTCCTCCTCCTCCTCCTCCTCCTCCTCCTCCCTCCTCCTCCTCCCCTCCTCCTCCCCTCCTGCCCCCCTGCCCGCCCTTCCCGCCCAGGGCGGCGGCGGCTGGGGCAAGGGCTGGTAGAGCAGCCGCCCTCCGCCCCGGCGGGGGCGCCGCGCGCGCCGCACCCCCGCCGCTCGACGCGCCGGACACTCGCCGGCCGCCGGCGCGGCGGCGGCGGCCGCGGCCGCCACTCCAGGCGCGCGCTCCGCCGTGCCGCCGCCGCTGCGGCACTGCGCCGCGCCTGCTGGGCCTGCTTCCCACCACCAGCACCATAAGTTGGAGGGGGAGGGGATCCTCCTCCTCCTCCTCCTCCTCCTCCTCCTCGTCCTCCTCCTCCTCCTCGTCCTCCTCCTCCTCTTCGTCCTCCTCCTCCTCCTCGTCCTCCACCTCCGCCCCCCCTCCAACTTCTGGTGGTGGTGGTGGAAAACATGCCCATCAGCGTCGCCGATGCACTGGCGATGCGGCCTGATCGGCAGTCTTCGAGTAGGAGGTCGACTGCAGAACGGATTTGGCCCCATAATGTATCAGGACGGAAAAGAACACACAGACACAATTATTCGTCGATTCCAAGAAAATATGCGAAAATATGGGAAGTGGGGGGAAGACAGAAACCCAGAAAATATGGGAGAATATGGGGAATCTTTTTATTTGTGTGTATTTATTTGTGTGTTTGTGGGCCCCTGTCTGGGGGTGTTTCGTTTCGGTACTGGTTCGCCCCCCGATCGTTTCGTCCCACTTCGGCACTGAAGCAGAGCTTCAGTTCGGGCTGGTTGAGCGCATCGCATGTCACGGCTGTAGCCAGCTTTGGGCGAAACATGCGCGTAGGCAACCCGAGTTTAAGACCCACATCAGTTCGGACAGGATTTGGGTGCCAAGGACGGCCCGATCCACAACGCAACAGAGAGCAGCACAGCTCAACACAGCATGACGCAGCACAGTGTAGTACAGCTACGCCAAACCGCGGCCCTGGTTATTGCGCTGGCCCCTGGTACCTCGGAGTGTGGCTCCCTCGTCAGGCGACGCCATATGATATCAGGATGGTGAGCTGAAGCGTATTCGTATTGGTTTGTCTTGTCTCGCTTCGATTCGGGTCGGTTCGGCCTTTGTCTCGGTTCGTATCGTTTTGGTTCGTCTTGATGCAGTTCGTGGCGTTTTGGTTCGCCGAGCTTCGGTCCGTCCACTCTCGGTGCGTTTCGCGTCGGTTCGGAGTCGCCCCCGCTCCTCTCGTCCCGTTGTGGAACTGAATCAGATCTCTAGCTCGAGCTGGTCGACCGCTCCATGCGGTTCGATTGCGACCTCTCGAGATATGCGTCCAGACAGCTCGAACTGATGAACCAGATCAGTTCGGTTAGGATTCTGATGCCAATAACGACCTGATCCACAACGCAATAAAGCACAGCACAGTTCAACGCGGCATGACACATTTCAGCTCATCGCACCACAGCACAACACAGCCCCTGGCACGGTTCATCACCAGCGTTACCTTGAGCATTGCAAGTCTTTGGTGTCTCGAAAAATCTTCATGTTTCACATTTGGATATCACTTTCCTGGTTCATGGGTCGATCATGTTGAAGCAGGACAAGGGGTTTGCTTTGGAGGCTATCCCGTCGTGATGGGTTCGTTTCTGAATCTGTCGCGTGTGGCCCCTCTCTGGTTCCGCGGGGTCTGTGGGAGCGAGGGTCTGGGGGAGCGAGGGGTCTGGGGGCCTGAGATCTCGACTACTAACGGGGCGCGAAGATCCAAGGCGGCTCCAGGTGATCCGCGGCTCGTCCCTTGGCGCGTCTCTGGCGCGTCTCGTGCCGCGTCCCGTGCCGCGTCCCGTGCCACGTCCCGTGGCACGCAGCGTAATTTACGGGGGATGCTGGTCAGGGACGTCCCGTGGCACGTTCCCTGACGCGTTCCCTGGCACGTCCCCTGGCGCGTCGCCTGGCACGTTACCTCGCACATTCCGTTGCGCGTCCCGTGGCGCGCCCCCCTGGCACGTCGCGCGGCGCGTCTTCTGGCATGTCCGTTGGCATGTCCACTGGCACGTTCCGTAGCGCGTCCCCTTGGCACATCCCGCGGTGCGTCCGCATGGCACGTCGCACTTCCCTTGGCGCGTCCTTTGGGACGTTCCGCGGCACGTTTCCCTGGTATGTCCCGCGGCCCGCCCCGTGGCATGTCTCTGGGCGCGTCGCCTGGCATATCACTCTGCGGCACGGTACAGCGCAGCGGAGCACAATACAGTCCCCCTTGGCACAGCATCATCACCATCGATATCTTCAGTATTGCCTTTTCCCATCGACCAATTGAGATCTTCAGAAACGTTTCCATGCCTCGCAGCTCTCAATATCTCTCCAGGCCCCTAAAAACCTTCCACATTTCCCAAGAAGGCGCCGACGCCTGCCCCTACGCCAGCCCGTACGCCTGCAGTGAGTGCTGCTGCAGTCGGGGATCCCCACATGGTACATATGCACGGGCAGCGTTTCGATCTCCTCGAGGTCGGCAGACACTTGCTGGTCGAGGTCCCACAGTCTGCAGCGGAGAGCGCGACGCTCCGGGCCGTCGCGGCCGTGGCACAGCGTTTTGGCGACGCCTGCTCGGACGTTTACTTTGTGTCCCTTAATGTGAGCAAGTGGGCAGACGGCGTGCGCGAGGGCGGCTTCCATTACACGGCCAAGCAGCCGCAGGCCCATCGCAAGGGAACGGGCTGGATGAGCTTCCACAGCATTCAATTGAAGACCGTATGGGGCTGTACTGGCGGAGGCATTTCTTACCTGAATGTGTTCGTCAAGAACTTGGGCAAGTCGGGGTATCCAGTCTGCGGTTTGCTCGGCAGTGGGGACCATTCGTCCGTGACCACGCCCGATTCCCGCTGCAAGCGCAGACTCGCATTGTAAGCGGACTTCGTTTCACAAATAACTTAGTTAGGTGTGTCTGACACCATGGTGCCGTGAGGATTGCCACGGCCTTATTTTGACGCCTCATCCTTGAGAGGTGTGAGAAAAAGACTCCGCATCCTCGTGGTTCTGGTCCTGGTCTTCGCCCCACTCCGCGCCCCCGTGTCTCTGCAAGCTCCCCCCCCTCCCACATCGGTACCCACCCCAGGATCTAGAAAGAGAGAGAGAGAGAGAAACACACCATAAAGAAATCAATACAACAAAGTATCCCGGCGACAGGCCCAGCCAGATGACTTCGTGGATACTTCATTCTGCGTGCAGCTTTCGGTGGGGTCATGAAACGTGTGAGGGGTGTGCCGAAATGGGGCGGGATCGCCCTGCGAACCCTGCCACTGCGCCTTTCGGTGGAGCTCCCTGGGGGGCCACGGAACGTGTGACGGGTCTGCCGAAATGGGGCGGGAGCGCCTTGCGAACCTTGCCACTGCGCCTTCGGTGGCCGAAATGGGGCGGGAGCGCGCTGCCAACCCTGCCACTGCGCCTTCGGTGGAGCTCCCTGGCCGTGATGGGCCACGGAACATGTGAGAAGTATACTGAAATGGGCTGGGAGCGCCCTGCGAACCCTGCCACTGGGGCCTTCGGTGGAGCTCCCGACTGGACCACGCAACGTGTGAGGGGTGTGCCGACATGGGGCGGGATCGCCCTGCGAATCCTGCCTCTGCGCCTTCGGTGGAGCTCCGTGGGGGGCCACGGAACGTGTGAGGGGTCTGCCGGAATGGGGCGGGAGCGCCCTGCGAACCCTGCCACTGCGCCTTTCGGTGGAGCTCCCGACTGGGCCACGCAATGTGCCGAAGTGGGGCGGGAGCGCGCTGCGAATCCTGCCACTGCGCCTTCGGTGGAGCTCCCTGGGGGGCCACGGAACTTGTGAGGGGTGTGCCGAAATGGGGCGGAAGTGCCATGCGAAGCTTGCCACTGGGGCAAAATGGGGCGGGGCCGCCATGCGAACGCTGCCACTGGGGCCTTCGGTGGAGCTCCCGACTGGGCCACGCAACGTGTGAGGGGTGTGCCGAAGTGGAGCGGGGCCGCCATGCGAACCCTGCCATTGGGGCCTTTGGTGGAGCTCCCGACTGGGGCCACGAATCGTGTGAGCGGTGTGCCGACATGTGGTGGGGCCGCCATGCGAACCTTGCCACTGAGGCCTTTGCAGGAGCTCCCTACGGGGCCACGACACGTGTGAGGGGTGTGCCGAAATGGGGCAGGAGCGCCCTGCTAACCCTGCCACTTGGGCCCTTGATGGGGCTCCTTATGGGGTGTGCCAAAAGGCGTGCGGGGCCGCCATGCGAACCTTGCCACTGGGGCCTTCGGTGGGGCTCCCTTTGGGGCTGCGAGGAGTTATTCATAAGGGGAAGGAATGTCGGAGAAGGGAGCAGGAGAAGAAACAGGAGCGGGAGGAGGAGGAGGAGGATGAGGAGGAGGAGGAGGAGGATGATGAGGAGGAGGAGGAGCAGGAAGAGAAGGAGAAGCAAGTACGAGCAGGAGGAGGACAAGCAGCAGAAGCAGGAGCAGGAGGACGAGGAGGGGGGGAGGAGGAGGAGGAGGAGCAAGAGGAGGAGAAGCAAGTACGAGCAGGAGGAGAAGACCAGGAGGAGGCAGGAGGAGAAGGAGGGAGGAGGAGGAGGAGGAGGAGAGGAGGAGGAGGAGGAGAGGAGGAGGATGAGGAGGAGAAAAGGAGAAAGGAGGAGGAGGAGAAGAGGAGGAGGGAGGAGGAGGAGGAGGAGGGAGGGGGGGGGGGAGGAGGGGGGAGGGGGGGGAGGGGAGGGGGAGGAGGAGAGAGGAGGAGGAGGAGGAGGGAGAGGAGGGAGGAGGAGGAGGAGGAGGAGGAGTAGGAGGAGGAGGAGGGAGCAGGAGAGGGAGAGGGGAGGAGGAGGAGCAGCAGCAGCAGCAGGAGGAGGAGGTGGAGGCCCCCCTCCCCCTCCAGGCGGCGAGGGCCTGCGTCGGCCGGGCCGGCAGGGCCTCCCGCGGGCCCGCGGGCCGCCGCCCCGCCCCCCCCGGGCGGCCCGGTGCTGGTCGGACGGGGAGGGGGGCGAGGCGGGATGTTTGGGCGCCTTGAGCCACCAGGGGTCCCGAGGAGTTGTCTTGGCCCGGGCGAAGGGAGGGGGTAGGGACAGGGGAAAGGGGGGGGTAGGGAAAGGAGGGGGTAGGGAAAGGGAAAGGAGGGGGTAGGGAAAGGGGGGGATGGGTGCGAGGCGAGATGCTTGGGCGCCTTGAGCCACCAGGGGTCCCGAGGAGTTATCCTGGCCCGGGCGAAAGGAGGGGTACGGTAGGTTCGTGTCGTATGGACCGGCGGCGACCTCGCCAGCGGCGTTCAACGTTGAACGCCGCGGGCGACCCAGGATCGTTTGATGTGAAACGATATGGACGTTTCGGAAACGGCTGATCGTTCAAGGTTGAACGATACCCGCTCTGTCGGAAACCAACGCTGGGATCGGCACGACATGAACCTGCCGTAGGGAGGTAGGGCAGGGGGGGGTACGAAATCTGCCGCATGCAGCCGGTTTCGGCCCCGCCGATGGGCCCCTTCCTCGATTCATGGCCGCCCCCGGCGCCGGGAGGCGCCGGGGAGATGAGCTACGTGAGCTCATTCTCAGACCCCCCCTTTGCCATCCCCCCCTTTCGCCCGGCCCGAGGATGTATCTCGGGTCACCGAGCGTGTTCGGCTGCTCGCAAAGTGCCCATTCGCAAGCGTCAGGAAAAAAGCAGATCTTTCGAAACGTGAAGGGGCCGCAGATCCCCCGCGGCGGATCCAGACCATTCGCGAGTAATTACTTTGCGAGTAGTGGAACGCGCTCGTCTATCGGGGGCGGCCGAGAATCGAAGAAGAAAAAACGCCATAAACAGAAACTTTTGGGGCTCCGCGCGGATTTCTTTGGTCCGCGCTGACCCCCCCGCCTCTGGCGCCGCCCCTGGCGCGCTCCGCGCGCCTGGGCGGGGGGTCCCAGCGCAGATCCAAGAAATCCGCGCGGAGTGCCACAAATTTACGTTTTTTTTGTTTTGTTTTGTTCTTTCTTTCTTTCTTTCTTTTTTTCCGTTATTATTTTTTCTTCCTCTGCAAAAGAAGGGGGTGATGATTATGGTCTAGGCTTCCTTGGTGGGGTCGAAGCAGATGGGGTCGGAGGATCGCGCCGCATCGCCGAGGCATCGGCGATGCAGCTCGATGTGGAGCCCGAAATCGTCCGCGCCGGTGTCGGCGATACACCGCCGACGTCGTCGATGCATCGTCGATGCATCGTTGATGCATCGGCGATGCATTAGCGATGTGGCGCGATTCTCCGACCCCATCTACTCGGACCCCATCTAGGACTCTACTCCGACCCCATCTACTCGGACCCCATCTACTCGGACCCCATCTAGGACTACTAGGATCCCATCTACTCTCACCCCATCTCGGACCTCATCTAGGACTCCTAGACCCTATAGAGGCCTCCTAGACTAGGAGGCCTCTATAGGGTCTACGGGTTGACTGTAAGGGGGGGGATGTCATGGCCAGGGCCATGACACCTCCACAGATCTCAGGGCCCCTCTTTTTATTGCGAAGGCCTTACGGCTGGTGCCGCCGACCCTGAAGGGCGACGACGACGATGACGACGGCGGCGGCGGCAACGACGACGACGCTGACGTGGGCCAGACTCCTCAGGGATGGTTCTTGGGGTCTCCTCGGAAGTCTCTCGAGGGCCTCTGGGGAGGCACTGTGGGAGCCTCCCTGGGAGCCTCTTGGGGGGCCTCTTGGGGGCCTCGTGGGGGCCCCCTCTTCGGGCTTCCCAGGGGCCTCCCGGGCCAGGACGTCTCCCCAGATGTCGTGGCCCCGCTTCTCGTCTCGGTGCGTTCCCTGCCCCCCCCCGCCCCTGGTCCGCGCGCGTGCCTCGGGCTGCGCCTCGCTCCCCATCCAGGAGGCCTCGGTGGGGTCTGCGGGCTGCCTGCAGGGGGTGGGGGGGGGGACGTCATGGCCAGGGCCGTGGCGTCCCCCCCAGATGTCATGGTTCAGGAAAAAACACACAGACACAACTAATCGTCGACTCCCAGGAAAATATGGGAAAATATGGGAAGTGGGGGGGAAGACAAAAAACCCAAAATATGGGAGAATATGGGGAATCCTTTTGTTTGTGTGTATTTATGTGTGTGTCCCATGGCCCCTTCAATGGTCCCGCTTCCTGTCTCGGTGCGTTCCCTGCCCCCTGCCCCTGGTCCGCGCGCGTGCGCCGGGGCTGTGCCTTGCGCCCCCCTCCCCTCTTTCAGGAGGCAACAAAAACACAGACACAATTAATCGTCGACTCCCAGGAAAATATGGGAAAATCTGGGAAATGGGGGGAAGACAAAAACCCCAAACATATGGGAACATATGGGGACTCTTTTTATTTGTGTGTATTTATTTGTGTGTCCCAGGGCCTCTTCACTCTTGGACGCCCCCGTTGGTGGACTCCCCCGCGGATCAGCAGCGAGAGAGGAGTCAGCCACGCGCAGAAGGGCAGCAGGAACGAGGGGGAGACGAATCCTTGTAGGGGCCTATGAAGAGCGAGCTTGGAGGGTGGGTGCACTCCAACATCATTGATGACGTCTTGGGTTTGCATTGGTCCTCCTCCTCCTCCTCCTCCTCCTCCTCCTCCTCCTCCTCCTCCTCCTCCTCCTCCTCCTCCTCCTCCTCCTCCCCCTCCCTCCTCCTCCTCCTCCTCCCCCTCCTCCTCCTCCTCCTCCTCCTCCTCCTCCTCCTCCTCCTCCTCCTCCTCCTCCTCCCCCTCCGCCTCCCTCCTCCTCCCCCCTCCTTCCCCTTCAACCGCACGCGGGGGGGGGCGCGAGGGCACTTCACCGCGCTTCGCGCACCGCGGCCTGGGCCAGACAGCCGCCCTTTCCCGCGGGGCGGCGTTGGAGCGCGAAGACGACCGCGCACCGCGCACCGCGAGTCGCGGAGGTGGGCGACCGTGGCAAATGTCGGCCACGCGCAGGGGGGAGCAGGGGAAGGGGGGGAAGGCTCCTTAGAAGCACCCCTGCTTCTGATGGGGCGCGGGCTTTCTGGACTGCGCGGGCCTCATCGATTGACGAAGGGCGGGCGCCTTCTGAGAAGCATCTTTCTTCTCGGAAGCCTTCCCCCATCGCCCTTCCCCCTTGTGCGCGCCGCGTGAAGGGGTTCTGAGGACCTATCAGGAGCGAAAGAAGGACGTACACGGACATGATACCACGTTGGTTTCGAGCAAGATACGCATTTCGGCGGCGAGCGAGGGGGGGAAGTGAGAAGGAGAAGGCCCTCTCAGAAGGCGGCGGGGCTTCTCAGAAGCCCTCGCGCCTTCTGAGTAGCTTTCGGTGTCTTCGGGGAAGGCTTCGAAAGCTTCTCAGCAGGCCCGTGGACTGCCGAGCCTTCTGGGAAGGCCCGCCCCTTCTCGCTTCCCCCTCGCCCGACGCCGCAAAAGGAGGACGTACGCGTGCACGAGCCCACGTCTTTTTCGAGATTACGCACCGCGCGAACGTTGCAATCACGCGGCTGGTCTCGCGGACTGGGGGACCGTGCTCATGTCCGTGGTTTGGAGCGTACGCCCTTTGTTGTCACCGCCCACCAAACCACCCCGACCCAATCCGAAGGCCTCAGTTTGCCCTCCATTTCCAGTGGGGGGGGGTCGGGAAACGTGGAAAAAACACATATGGAGCCCATACCCCCCCCCAACCCGAAATTCGGGTCTTCGGGTTGGGTTGGGGTGGTCTGGTAGGTAGTCGGGGGGGGAACAGACACGGCAGCAGCACACGACTCTCGGAGCCTCGCGCGGATTTTTCTGGGGCCGGCGCCGGGTCCTCCCTGGGGCGCGCCTTTTGCACGCCAGGGAGGGGGGGCCCCAGCGCCGATCCGAGAAGTCCGCGGACCTTGGAGTTGGTATGATTGACTAAGCCGTTTTTTTTGTGGGGACGAGGAGGTACCGATGCCGCTGATCGTCCTGGAGGGCCCTCGTCGCCACGGCTGGAGTCTCCTCGAGATTCTGGTCAGGATGCACCCTGGTCCGTTCTGCCCCCCCAGGGTCGGGGATCGATGGGGGCCCTTTCTGATCCGACTCCTTTCTTGTCAGGGGCAGCGGCAGGGAGCGGTAGGCTCAGGGTGCGTCGACCCCCAGTCGGCCGTTCGATGCCGATGGGTTCCCGATATCCCATCCCGCCCCGCCCAGGAAAGTGCGGACTCGCTACCGGCGGCCTACGATGTATCGCCGATTCAGGCTCGATGTTTCCCCCCCCCCCCCCCCCCTGAGCTGGCCCCTTTTATGTCGTTCTCCCTCATCTCGGGCCTCTGGGAGGCTTCTCGTCGCCACGGTTGGCTTCCTCTCGAAACTCTGGGGTCTAGGTGCACCTGGCCCGTGGAGGCGTCCTGGCCAGTCGGCCACCACGACAACAGAGAGGCCTTTGAGAGAAAGGGGTCCTTAGGAGACCACATGCGAACCCTACCCCTACCCCCCCACGATTTCTGAGGGGGAGGGTGGGGTTCACTTCGTTCGGGAGCTCTCGAGCGAAGTGAACCCCACCCTCCTCAGAAATCGTGGGGGGTAGGGGTAGGGTTCGCATGTGGCCCCCTAGTTCTGACTTTGTCTTCTCGCCGTTTTCGGCTTCTCGGGGCCCTTTCCATGCGCTGGGGCCGTCGACAAGCCGCCTGGGATGGAAGGCCGCTTCAGGGAATCCCCGGGCTGTGAAGGACCCGTGTCTTTCGGGACCCCTTGTGGCTCGTGGTCGTTCCAGCCACAGGTATAGCCGAGAGTCGCAGGTTTCAAAGAGTGGAGGGAAAAACAACGATCACCGTGACCAAGATGTCGCTGGATCTTGTCCACGCTGGTCCTGGTCATGGTCCATGCCGGCCGTCGCTAGCTCGCCCGGCTGATCCACGAATTGACCTGCGACCAAAATGGACGGTACTCAAGATTGACACCGACGTTTGCCGCGTTCATTCGTGGTCACTTCCACCAGTTTATTTCCCTAAAGGGCGGGTTCCAGACGAAAGAGACGAAGAAGGGTGCGTTCCTCAAGAAACGAGGGAGACTTTTGCAGGGGTAAGCAATGTGTACACTGCCGCCAATCCTGGTCAGGCCAATCTCAGGGTCAAGACTTTATTGGAGGTTATGTCCTCCAAGCGATGCTGGGAGGGCACACCAGTCGAGCTCTGTGCCCCAAGCGATTCTGAGCACACTTGGTGGTGGAATACATCACCTGCTTCCCAGTTCCGCCCTGTCCTCTCTCCTTCCTCGTCTTCCCTCTCCCCCGCTCCGCCCCGGTCCGCCTCCCCTGACCTCCCCTCGCTCCCCCTCCTCCTCCTCCCCCTCTTCATCCTCCTCCTCCTCTTCCTCCTCCTCCTCCTCCTCATCTTCAATTCCTTCTCCTTATAGATAAATCCTCCCTGTCGCACCCCGAGGCCAGTTTTTAGGGCGGGCCGGGTGTTTCGCTTGAGACTTCCTCACCGTTTATGACTCTGAAGCTTAAATAGTGAACAATTTCACATATGGAGGGCGGGTGGTTTTCAAAATGTGTCTCTCGCCTTAGCGCCGCGCACATTCGTGTTAAACATTTGCAAGAGATTCACGGATTGAGGGCGGGTTATTTTCAACATGTGGTTCTCGCCTTAGCGCCGCGCGCATTCGTTTTAGAAATTTGCAAGCGTTTCACGGATTGAGGGCGGGTGGTTTCCAAAATGCGGCTCTCGCCGTAGCGCTGCGCACATTCGTCTCAAACATTTGCAAGGGTTTCACGGATTGAGGGCGGGTCGTTTTCAACATGTGGTTGTCGGCTTAGCGCCGCGCACGTTCCTTTTTTTCGATATTTGTAAGAGTTTCACGGATTGAGTGTGGTTCCTTTTCAAAATGTGGATCTCGCATTAGCGCCGCGCACATTCGTGTTAAACATTTGCAAGAGATTCACGGATTGAGGGCGGGTGGTTTTCAACATGTGGCTCTCGCCTTAGCGCCTCGCACACTCGTTTTTTTAAATTGCCAGACTTTCGCGGGTGTTTTGGAAGGATTCAGGACTATGCGGGTGCAACAGTTATGTTGATTCGCGGAGTCCCAAAAATGGCGCGCTGGCACGATTCCGGACCGTCAAGACGCAGCAGTGGGGTTGATACGTGGCGTTGAAATCCCGAGAACAATGTTTTGGCATGCTTCAGGATCTTCAAACGGTTGTCTTCCAACGAGGCAGTTCCCTCAATTGGAATGAACCGTTGTGGGGGCCTATGAAGAGGGAGCTTGGAGGGAGGGTGAATTCCAACATCGTCGATGACTTCTGGTTTTGCACTGGTCCTCCTCCTCCTCCTCCTCCTCCTCCTCCTCCTCCTCCTCCTCCTCCTCCTCCCCTCCAGGGGCGGGGATCTCGCTGTCCCTGTGGCTGGGACTGCTCGGAGAGGAGGGGTGCCGGCGCGAGCCCCTCCTGGCTCTGCCTCGCCGGGCCGGCTCTGCCGTGGATTTTGGCTCCTGCCCGAGGCGCCGCCTGGACTCATCTCTCGGGAGAGCAGGAGAGGTACGCTATGCCCCCTCCCCTTCCCTTGTCCAGCCGCCCCCAGATGATGGTGATGATGATGATGATGATGATGATGATGATGATGATGATGCTGGTGACGGTGATGCTGCTGATGACGATTGTGATGATGATGATGATGACGGTGGTGGTGATGATGATGGTGATCATCATGATGATTGTTCTGGTGGTGATGATGATGATCATGTCGATGATGATGATGATGATGACCATGGTGGTGGTGGTGATGGTGTCGATGAAGCTTGCGATATTGTTATTGATTATGCTGATGATGATGATCATGTCGATGATGGGGATGATGACGATGCTGATGATGTTGATGTTGATGCTGATGATGATGAAAATGATGATGATTGCGACGCCGACAATGACGCTGATGATGGTGATGATGGTCGTGATGATGATGATGATGATGAT